GGCAGGCTGAAAAGGTACCTGCTTTAAAAAGTGAGTGTCACTCATCTAAAACAAGAGTAATAATGAATGAGTTGTTAGTAAAAGAGGATGGAAGCCCCATGATTTGCTTCAGTTCACAATGAAATGAAAGAATTATTAGCTGGCAATTATTAAACCTTGGTATCTTTGATTTATAACAATAGTTTTTATTATTTTAGATTAAATGCTGAGGTAGTTACAAAAATATTTGTACACTGAACACTCAAGTGAGTTATTTAAATGAATTGAAATCTGTTACAAATATTAGTACCTTTGGCTTAGTAATGTAGCTAATTTATAACAATTATTGGGAATTTCCTTTCAAATCAATGCTTTCACAGCTGACATTCAATATTTAGCCCAAAATAGGCCAAATGAATAGTGACATCATCTTGCCACTGAGATTTTGCCACATATACGTACCAAAACATATATATAATTCAGCAAATTAATTCATATGCATTTTCCCATTTACAATTCTACCTAACAAATGTGTTAAAAGATTTAAATTCCCTTGCCTGAAACACCCAAATCTAACTATCTTTTATCCTTCAGAAAGTACACTGGGTCATCCACATGCCCATTACTGTGGGAACTGCTACAGATTTACCCTCTTTCTTTTTAGAAAAAGTTTTTCTTCAGCTTAAAGAAGAAAAGGAAAGGAGAGAATGAAATGGAGATGGAAAGAAACTGCACAAGCTGAAAAGAATGGACGGTCTGGATAAAGAGTCCAACTGTCATGTTGGCAAAGCTACTCAAGGCTAAGTTTTGTTCTATCTGTTAATGTGTTTATATAATTTTGAGTTGACTTATTTCTCTAGCACCTTAAAAATGTTTTTCCATTCTTTTCTGGCCTTCGGATTTTCTGATGAGAAGTTAACAGTCTTTTGAATTGTTTCTTTGTATGTAAAGTGTCTTTTTCCTCTGGTTGCTTTCAAAATTTTCTTTTTATCTTTGGTTTTGAGCAGCTTTGCTTAGGAATGGTTTTCTTTGTATTTATACTGCTTAGCGTTCACTGAGCTTCTTGAAAATGTTTTTCATCAAATTTGGGAAGTTTTTGAACATTATTTCTTCAAACATTTTTGTTGTTGTTACCCATTCTCTCTTTATTCTCCTTCTGGGATGCCAAATATACATACATTGGGCTTTTTTATATTATCTGGAAGGTCTCTCATGCTGTGTTCATTCTTGTTTTTAATATTCTTTCCTATGTGTTCCTCAGATTGGATCATTTCTACTGATCTACCTCCAAGTTCACTGATTTTTTTCCTCTGTTATACCCATTCTGCTATGAAGCCCAGCAAGCTAATTTTTTATTTCAGACATTGTATTTTCAATTCTAGAATTCCCCACCCCACACCCCAGATTTTTTTTTTTACAGTTTCTATTTTTCTGGTCTTTTCATTCATTACAAACCTATTTTTCTTTGTTTCACTGAGAATAGTTATAACAGTTACTTTAAAATCCTCATCTGTCATTTGAACATTTTAGGTCACCTCATGTTGGTCTCTGCTGATCACCTGTTCTCTTTAGAATGGGTCTCATTTTTCTGATGTCATGTAATTTTTGAATGTCTACTGGACATTGTGAAAGTTACATTGTAGAGACTATGGATTCTATTATATTCCTCTAACACTTAAAAGGAGCGTTAACATTTTTGTTTTAGCAAGCAATTAACTTTGTGGGAGTCAAACTTCAACCTCTGTCTCTTGAGTGGCAGCTCAAATCTCACTTTAGTACTTTCAACTATAGCCATATAGCTTTGGGCCTGACCCTTGGAGGTGTGGTTCAGGTATTCAACATTGGTTGTTTTTGATGTATAGGCAGCCCTCCCACCCCCAAATAAACATGGAGTATTTTTACTCTACTAGTTTAACTCAGAACTCAGAATGCATTTCTCATACAAACAACTCTGTTACCTTGAGTGGTTATGTTAGCTAACCTTTAGAAGGTCATTTAACCAATCTGCACACAAATCCACCTATAATTGCTCATTATTTACATAATAAAAAGCAATGGCTTGGTTTTCTTTTTCTCATATAATCAAATAACTGGAAAAATAATCCTCCTATAGGATCACTTTTATCATGAAGTTCTCCTCAGTAAGCAAATATGCCAATTACCACTCTAAAATTCTAACAAAGGATGGACTTCTCTTTCTGGGTACAATGTAGAAGTGGAGACATTTACTCCTGTACTAACAACAACAACAACAAAAAACTCCAGAGAAAATAAAGATCACATTTTTCCAGGAGTCTGGCGGAGTATAGATGCAATGCAGCTGTGATAGCGTCTCTCTGGGGGTTCCCAGTGATTCTCCTCCTAGTACCCAATCCCTGTGTTGTCCCCTCCCTCCATGAATAGGATTCACCCATGTAATCAGTGAGATATAACAGAAATGACGTGTGGCTTTGAGGCTAGGTCATAAAATACAGCTGCATGCTTTACATTTCCATCATTTGTATATCATCTGCTCTGTTGTTGCTCTAATTCTCTTAGACTCTTAATCTGAAAATGGTACTAAATTGTTTCAAAGATACTACAGGACAGCTGAAGCTACTGTGTTCTAATATTCTGGGTCTACATCTGGGCTAGATGCAACATGTGACAGCAGTAAAGAACCAACTGAGCCTTTGAGTCTCAGTTTCCTTAAAGAGAATTAACACCAAGTTGTTCAACTATTTAGTGTTCATTTCACTCCCTGGGCTAAATTAGAAGGTCCATGAGGACAGGCACTTCACTGTTTTGCTCATCACTGTATATAGCCATTATTTAGCACAGTGACCCAACAGAGTAGTCGCTCAATAAATGCTCATTGAATGAACAACTGAACCAAGATCTTTGTTCAGAATGAAAAAGAATAATTTCTAGGCCTCAAATACACTTTTATGCCCTTTCTGTTTGACATTCCTCAGAATGTTGGTCTACCCCATCTCCCCTCCCATTCCCTAGGCTAGGGCAGTAAGCACCACCACTGGACTTGGAATTAGGGAGTCCTTCTACACATATTCAACAGAAAAAAGGAACAGAAAAAAACGCTCCTTAATTCTGTTGTCGTGGCTTTAGCAGTTAATTCTGTTGTCGTGGCTTTAGCAGTTATCATCTATTAACATTCTAAACACATTTGCCACAGAAATATTGTATAACTTTTCAGGTGCAAAATAAGTTAAATAACCTTTTAATGAGCTGGCTCAGGAATGTAATGACCAGAACTGTTTCTGTAAAAATGCATTCTGAGTTTTGAGTTAAACCAACAGACTAAAAATGCCTTTTGGATCATAATTCATTTGTAAGTGGAACTGCTTATACCCCCAATACTAACATTATAAAACTGGTTGTTTAATACTATCCTATTAATAATTTTATTTATTTATTACTAACAAAGGAAGACTTTAATAATAATAAAAGTGTAGAATATTAGCTAATAATTTGTATATTTTCCCCCACTATTTATTTTTTTAAAGATTTGGAACTCTCATAAAATTCACTACCATTGTTACCAGAGACCAACTCAAAGATTAAAAAATATCTTTCTACTTAAATAGCAGAAAGCACAAATAGCACTTTCTGGTAGTCAATAACATCAACATCTAAACATCCAAGTAGAAGGCTCTTTATCTTAAATAAAAGTTATTCCTTAATTGTGATAAGAGACTTGGATCACATTTCGGTGCAGTCCCCGAAGGTTCTGGTGTGGAGAAAGTGCCTTCAGCTTTGGAGCTTGCTTGCATCACTCCATGCATTGTGGTGATTCAGGGCATTTTACTCACCACTTGGAAGAATTAGGCTATATTAAAATCCTTTAATAACTCCTTAGGATTAATGACTATGTAATATCACAACTGTGACATAATCAGCTGCAGAAAAATCACTGAGCTAAAAACTAACCTAGTCTGCTTCACAGAAAGTTCTGGAATACATCTCTTGATTTGGATTTCATCGGCCTATACAGGCACTGAATTCATCTAGGGCTTTCCCAAGGTAACAACTGTACAACTATTCCTAAGGGAAGACATCAATCCTAGGACTGCCCTCTCTGGGGCAATCACAGCTCACTGCCCATCCCCTGGAGTCATGATGTCACAGCAGGGGAGTGGCTGTCCTCTATCCTCTATGCACAAGCTTATTGTCATCCCTCTTCTTTCCAGAACTACATATAGTATGGGCCAGGTTATTGTAGGATGTTAGGGATTAGAAGGGGACAGTCAAACATGCTGGTTAGGTAGCCTCAAAAGTGTTTCTCTGACTGCTTAAGTGGGGAAAGTAAGCCAGTCAAAAGCAGGTCCTGGTAGTCGAGTGGTCCATCTTAATCCCAGACCACTCTGGGAAACACTTTACAGTGGTTCTGTCCCAGTGCTGTAGAAGGAGAAGCTGAAGCCATCTTTCCAAAAGCCTGACAAAGAAGGAAAAATTATTGCTGCTCTAAAACTAAAAGCCCATTAACTGAAATAACTGTTTTGGTTAATAGAATCATGACTTATTTTCAAAGTCTATCTCATATGTTGAGTTCTATTGGTAAACCCTAGGTACTAGGGCTGTTCCTGTAGTAAAACTGTCACTGCAATGGAGTTTAGAGAAAGAAATCCTTTTAAATTAATGCCGATTCCTCCACTTTCTGTGACTCACACCATTCGGTTTATGACAGTACCTGTGGCAACGTATACATATATCAAATCATCACATTGTACACTGTAAATGTATACCATTTTATTTGTCAATTATACCTCAACAAAGCTGGGGAAAAATAAAGCTGTTTATTTCCATTGCAAAAAAAAAAAGGTGCATGTGGATTTATTATTTTTCTCTAGACTGGAAAATAAAAAACTGAGTGAACTCAATGGGCAATATTCTAAATTGCTTGTCCAATATTCTTAGTTTCTAAGGATATTTGTTTTAGCATATTAAGGCCAACGACAAAATTGAGTAGAATCATCAAAAGTAGTTCATTAGTTTTTGAGTTCAAAATGTGAAATCAGCCTTACCCACTGCACCCGATGACTTTATTGTACAGATAAGATGGCAAGCCTTTCAGGTGAATGTTGTTATCCACGTACACATATTGTAGTTCTCGAGATCGACCTAAATCTGGGTTAGAAAGAAAAGTGCTATAATTCCTATAAATAGGCACAATTATAATGTAAAATATAAAATTTAATTCATAATATTAAAAATATTCAAAGAAAAAATGTTGTAGGTTTAACTGTGAGTGTGAAATTATGTCAGCTGCAGCATTAGATTCTGTATTAGAAAGTATGACTATAGAAAAATTACTTAACCAACTTAGACCTTGGTTTCTTAAACTGTAAAATGAGATAACTGGGACTAGAATATTATTAAATTTCCTTCCTGCATAAAAATTCTATGATGTTTTATAGACAATTTCAATTTAAAAATAAAGTTTGCAGTAGGTCATTTATTTTCATTTTTCTCCACAGAAAATGTTATACAAAGTGAATTGATGGGTCAGCCTAAATGAGTCTAGTTCTGCCCCTTTACAAAGACTCTTTGCTTGCAAACTTTAGTCAGGTTCCTAAACATTCTCCTAGGTCCATCTGTGAACTTCCTTGTAAAATCCAATTTTAGCAAAGAAGCCTGCTAAGTCAGTTTAGCAAGAATCCCTCTCTGGATATCTGATTGGGTTACTCACCCTCTACCATCCCCCAGGTCTGCTCACCTTGTCTTCCACAAGAATTCTGTTAGGTCACTTTATCCAGAATCCTGCCTTACTCCTGATGTTACCGCTTAGTAATTTTCCATCCACCGACGCCCCACCCTGTTCCTTGGCTATAAATTCCCACTGCTCATGCTATATTCAGAGTTGGCCCACTCTCTCCCCGACTGCAAGACCCTGTTGCAGCGGTCCCCTTACCTGTGGTGATGGTTTCAAATAAAGTCTTCCTTAAAATGCTTTAATAGTGTCATTGAATAATTTTTTCTTTAACAATCCATATCAAGATTTCCTGTGTCTCCCCTCCCCTGGTCAGAAAGACAGGTGGTAGGTGAGGGAGGGCAAGGAGGAATCAGGTGTGGGACAGAACTGCCCATGGCTGCAGGGTGAGGAGGAAGTGAAGCAGAACCCAAATCCCAGTCCCTAGTGAGGTGTGAAGGGGGATGGATAAGACCTGTGGGCCAGTGAGCAGGGGTTGGAACGGGGGCCCAAAAAGAAGGGTCTATAACAGGAACAGGAATGCCAGAAAGAGGCAGAACTCAGATATTTCCCAGAGGTATCAGGGCAATGGGGGCAGCAAAGACTGGAAGAGGATTAAGTGAGGAAGTAAGGCTCAAAGTTCGGAGAGAGATTTCCAGCCAGTGTAGGCAGCAGGGACACTTCCCAGTGTCCAAGTCATCCCTCCCCACGTGCTCAGGAGCGTCCAACCAGCTCTCCTTTCCACTCCTAGCACTCACCTAGTAGGGCTATTTGTCTTTATTGTCATAGAGGCACACTCAGCAGTCTTGCTAACCGTCTGCTCCCTAAAGCAAGAACATAATCTTTGAAAGGTTTTCTAGGGCTCTGCTTATGAAAATAGGAAACAGGCCCAGACAGCTAAAAATTAGGAGATTCTTAGATTCATTTACAGTTCAAAAGAAAACACATTTACCCACTAAGGATCTTTTAGGCACTATTCTAGGCCTTGGCGATATAGATATGAATACGGCATTAATAGATGTGAACACAGACAGGAAAAATGAAAACTGTAACGCAATATGGTCACTGTTATTAGAGAGGCTGGTGTAAAGCCTCGTGGTTCTCACATGGATTCTGGACAATTTGTCACAGGAAGCGGGAGGAGGGTAACACAAGGCTGAGGTGAGGACGGGTTCCTGTGGGGCAGGGTAGGGAGGGATGACATCACCTCCTTCTCTCTGCTGGTCCTGTTACAGTAATCCTGCCCAGTTACAAAACAGAACCAAAACTTCCCTCAGAGGGTTATGGCAATTTACGTCCCCAACAGCAATGTATGAGAGCACCTGCTTCCCCACGGGAAGCAAAACATGTCATATCTTTTAAATTTTGCCATTCTTACAGGTGGAAAATGGTATTTCAGCAGTTTTTTAATTTGCATTTTTCTAATATTATGAATTTGAACAGTTTTACATATATTTTTTGTGAGTTGTCTGTTCAAGTCTTTTTCCCATTTTTCTATCAGGTTTTTGATATTTTGTCCCTCATTTTTTAATAGTCTTTTATATATTAGGGACATTAGCTCCGTATCTGTGGTGTACGTTACAAATGTTTTTCCCTCAGTTTGCTGATGCCGTATTTTGTCATGCGAAAAATTTTAAAAGTATTTATGAGTCGAATTTATCAATTTTTTTTTTTTTGCTCTAGATTTTCAGTCATAGGTAGAAAACCTCTTCCTGTGACACCCAAGGTTAAGCAGAATTTACCCATGTTTTCTTCTAGTGTTTGTATGGTTTCACTTTTCTTCTTTTTTACATTTAGATTCCTAATTCATCTGAAGTCTGTTCTTATTATACATGTGGAGTAAAAAGCACAGCAAATAATTTCTTTTTTTCCAAATGGTGATCCAGCTATTTCGGCATCATTTATGAACTTTTAGTCCATCTTTATTCCAGTACACCAAAAAGAAAAAAAAATATAGCAGAGAAAAAAATCATAAACTATATAGATTCCAGAAGAGAATAACTGTGTTGTTAAATCAAGCTGCAAACATGTAAAAAATAAAAGAGAAAAAACCCCAAAGATTTCACAACTATTAGAACTAATAAACGAATTCAGTAAAGTTGCAAGGTACAACATCAACACACAAAAATCAGTAGCATTTCTATACACAAATAACCTAGCAGAGAAAAAAAAATCAAGAAAATAATTCCATTTATGGTGGCATAAAAAAATTAAAATACCTAGGGACAAATTTAATCAAGGAAGTAAAAGATCAGTACACTGAAAACTATAAAACACTGATGAAAGAAATGAATCGTGAAGACACAAATGGAAAGATATCCTGTGCTCATGGATAGAAAGAGTTAATATTGCTAAAATGTCCATATTATCCAAAGCAATATACAGATTTAATGCAATCCTTATCAAAATTCCAACGGCATTCTTCACAGAAATAGGAAAAAGAATTCTAAAATTCATATGGAACCACAACCCCCTCCGCCCCGCCAAATAGCCAAAGCAATACTCAGCAAGAAAAACAAAGCTAGATGCATCTCACTTACAGATTTAAAATTATATTACAAAGCTATAGTATTCAAAACAGTATGATACTGGCATAAAAAAAGAAACACAGACCAATGGAACAGAATAGAGAGGCCAGAAATAAATCTACACATATATGATCAACTAATTTTAAATAAGGGTACCAAGAAGACACACTGGGGAAGGAAAAGTCTCTTCAATAATTGGTGCTGGGAAAACTGGATTTCCACACACAAAAGAATCAAAATCTCACACCATACACAAAAATCAACTAAAAATTGATAAAAAACTTAAATGTAAGATCTGAAACCATAAAATCCTAGAAGGGAACACAGGAGAAAAGCTCATCAACATTAGCCTTGGCAATGTTTTTTTGTATATTGCACCAAAAGCTCAGGCTACGAAAAAAGAAAAATAAATAAATGAGACTACGTCAAACTAAAAAGCTTCTGCACAGCAAAGAAAACAATCAATAAAATGAAAAGGCAACCTACAGACTAAGAAAAGATAATTGCAAACTGCATAACCGATAAAAGTTAACATCCAAAATTTATAAAGGATAGTTACAACTCAATAGCAGAAAAATGAATTACTAGATTAAAAAATGGGCAAAGAAACCAGGCACAGTGGCTCATGCGTATGATCCCAGCACTTTGGGAGGCTGAGGCAGAAGGATCGCTTGAGCTCAGGAGTTCAAGGCTGAGGTGAGCCACGATCGCACCACTGAACTCCATCATGGGTGACAGAGCAAGACTCTGCCTCTAAAAAAAAAAAAATATGGGCAAAGAACCTAAACAGACATTTCTCCAAAAAAGTTATAAAAATGGCCAACAGGTATATGAAAGGTGCTCAACCTCACTAATCATAAAGGAAATACAAATTAAAACCACTATGAGACATCACCTCATACCCCTAAGGATGGCTATTATTAAAAAGACAAGGGAAAAAAAAAAAAAGACACGAGATAACAAATGTTGGCGAGGGTGTAGAGAAAAGGGAACCCTAGTACACTGTTGGTGGGAATGTTGATTGGTACAGCCATTACGGAAAACAGTATGGAGGTTCCCAAAGAAATCAGAAATAGAACTAACTACCATATGACTCAGCAATCCCTCTTCTGGGTGTATACCCAAAGGAAATACAATCACTACCTTGTAAAGATATCTGCACTCCCATGTTCACTGCAGCATTATTCACCATAACCAAGATATGGGAACAACCTAAATGCTTATCGACAGATGCATGGATAAAGAAAATGTGGTATATATTAAGCCTTAAAAAAGAGGGAGATCCTGCCATTTGCCACAACATGGATGGACTGAGAGGACGTTATGCTAAGTGAGATAATCGGGATACAGAAAGAAAAATATTGCATGATCTCACTTATATATGGAATTTTTTAAAAAAAGAAATGGTTCAAATACATAGAGCTAGAGAAAGAAACAGTGGTTACCATGGGCGGGGGCTGAGGGTGGTAATAAGGAGGTGCAGGTCAAAGGATGCAAAACGCAGACATGTAGAATGAATGAGTTTAGAGATCTAATGTACAACATGAGGACTAAAGTTAATAAAATTGTATTGTATTAGGGATTTTTGTTAAATAGATTTTAGCTTCTCTTATCACAAAAATGTAACTATGTGAGATTATAGACATGTTAATCTGCATCTCTACAGTAACCATTTTATTATTTATTTGTATCCCATAACATTGTATTGTAAACCTCAAATATACACAATACAATTTATTTTATAAAAGAGTTTGCCATGACGG